TTAGTTGCCGGCTGAGGCTAAACCACAACACTATGCCACCTGCAAGCTATGAAACATTTTTTATATCTATCTAGATCATTTAATGTTGCTCAATGCATCACTCCTATGTTTTACTGGTACACCACTCTCTGGAGAAGTAATTTCCTCAAGACACTCACACTGTTACAGCCTAAGAAGAGTGTCTTCTGTGTGACAGCCCCAGAAGGTGAGCATTGGGGGTGGTGGTAGCTTAGTCACAGGATGCTCCTGACTACCCCACAGTAGTGTCTGGAAAGACAATTCAGGGCTCATGTGTCTAACAGGATGGATTAAATAGCAGCAGCATGGGTTTAACCAGCTGGGAGTGTGAGCCAGGTAATTCTATGTAGCTTACCAAGAAGGACCATGCAATCTGCTGGCTTTGCCACAGTTAAGAGCTCCAGCTAGTATACTAAGGGCTAGTAAACTAGTATAGTCCAGCTCCAAAACCAGTATACTAAGGGTCTTGTAGTACCGCTACAGCTCAGGACAACCGGCTCGATCCTGATGTTCCCTCTAGTACATCTGCAGTGCCTTCACCATGGAAAACAGGCACGCATCAGCTTCATTTCTCCAGGTGGGAACACAGACTCTGTCACCACTCCACCCTCTCCCCATCCTTCTGTTTGGAGGTATCCATGGGCAGACACATGTCCTCTGCCACCCCTGCTCAGTGTCAGCTCCTCAGAGACCAGTGCCAGTTAGGGCCAGCTCTGACAACAGCTCTTGCAACACTTGCCCCTATTACGTAGGTGACCAAACCGTTGGCCAGTTTGCGTATAAAAATACTCATCCTTCCTGCAGAGAGACTCAGGGGATACTGTGTACCACCAAGGAGCTAATCAATTAAAAGCCTCCTAAACCAGAAAATCCTATGAGTATTCTGGGTGTTGGGTATTTTGCTTTGTCGTTGTTGTTAAAATAACTGCCTAAACAATATATTTAACCAGCAAAGAGTAAATAGGGAAATGATAATTATGAAGCACGAAAACGCGCAAAGATTAGCCTCTGGTGCTATAATCTTTTAAGCAAAGGCTGCCCTCATTTACACTGAGGAAATAAACACAGGAAAAGAAACGTGATGTGCTGTGGGATAGAGTCATGAATTTAACCAGCCTCTTCTATCTCCCATTTTTGTGATCGCGTTCTGCAAGACATTTCAGTTTGGTGGCTGCAGTCTCCTCTGCAAAAGCTAAGCCCAAAATGCCATGCGCAGCTCCTGAGGCTCACTTAATCTCAGACTGGCAGAAAGAATGAAAGAGGTGTCGAGGGTGATACACAGCAGGCCTGCTGGAGCCGCCGCTGCCTGGCACCGAAAGAAGAGATCCTCGGCCTTATCGCATCTCCTTGGTAAAGACTGCACATTCCTGAGGAGGGGCTCAGGACCAGGCGGTTGGATAACCCAAAGCTCTGGGCATGGGATGTGGAACAGGCTGAAATGTCTCTGATCAGTCGAAAGGAGAGAAAAAAAACCTCCACCCAAAAAAAAAAAAAAAAAAAAAAAAAAACCAAAACAAAAAAATCCCTGCATGCTCTCCAGCGTTGCGCGGCAGAGAGGACGTGACTGAGTTAGGAGTTAAGAATTCCTCCAGAGCAGAAGTGCTGATCAGATAATCTACCCAACAGTCCATTTTAAAAATAGCGTCCAGTTAATGCTGATTTTTTTAAAGCTGTGTTGTTATTACTGCTAATGTCAAGAAAGAACACTAAAATAAAGGCTTTTCTAACTGAGTGAGTACACTTTGCACTATCCTTGGTTCTTGCCTCCACCAGAGCAGGTGATAATTATGGTTTTGCTTAGGATAAGCATTATTCTTACATTTTCTCATTCATTTTTCCAGTGGTTTTAAGCCTGCAATCTCAAGCCCCTGGAATTTTGCAGACTATTTCTAAAGTGCCCAAACAGAAACAAGCATGTTATCACCAGGTATAATCTTCTTCTGAATTTTCTTCACTTGAAAATTGCAAGAATCCATAAACCTAAAAAGATTGGGAAAAGTACCACCAGTTTGGTTTATAAGCCTTGCAGAGGATTACAAATGCTGCAAAACAAGAGTAGCATTGTGATCTAATTGGAAGTGTTTGCATGCTAAGCATACTAGTCTGTAAAATAAAAAGCCAGTATTTCACTATCTAGACTGCAATATAGAAGTACCATTAACAATAGAGAATTAAAAGATTATGTTTTCTGCATTAGTTCATTCAAGAAGATTATAAGACAAAAGAAGAAAATGAAAAGGCACATACTGGAATTTTTTCCAAAGTAGGAACTAGCTGTGACCTCTTTAATGTAGTAAATGAATTAATGTATTAAAGCGGCCTCCCCTCATCCTCGAATGTCCCTGTGGGAAGCAAAATTGTGCCATCTAGTGGGTTTTAGACCAAGTCTTAGCTGTGCCTTCCCCCGAGGCACTACCCCTACAGACCACCTCCGCCTGAATATGTCAATGTTACGGCATGGACTTTTTTGGATTCCACTTTGCTCCCAAGCTCAAATCCCTCCTCTGCTTCAGCTGCAGGAAGGGTCTGCAGCCGGTCTGTTCGCCCTGCCTGGCTTAGGGGCAGAGAGGACTTTGTGCGTTCGGAAGGGGAATATTCAAAAGCTCAGTCAGGACTCGCAGGACACTCAGTGTGTCTCGAACAAACAGGCAATGCCACTTCACCAGGGCAGGCTCTGCAAATAGGGGAAAGCAGGGGCAAGCACGGCAGGGTTGGCTGGCCGGGGGAAACTACCACTCCTTGAGCCAGGCAGCGCTGGCAAGGCAAAATACGACCCACAAAAGCTGTTTTTTTCCAGAGGCCACAAAAGGAAGTTGCTTTTTCATTTATCTGCTCAATCCGTGTTTCTTCTTGGCTTCTGAGTTGATGGGGAAGATGGGGAAAAATGATTTTCATGAGTATGACTTGATAAATTTGAAACACCAAAGCTGTGGGGTTCACCACAGATGAAGACTCTCTCCCCTGCCAAGCAGCCAGCAACCTTGTTTTGATACGCGGCACAGCTATAGAGCTGGTGTATGCAGAAAACACTGTAACACAACTAAACTCATTTCCTAGTATGCTTTTGTAACCTTAGTTAAGCAATAGGCCTCATATAGATTTCAGTACAATCTTTTAATCTTTGCCCTTTATGGATTAGCATATCTTTATGCCAGACAGGCATTTCACTGCTTGCAATTTTTTTCTTCTGTGCTAGTGATAGGAGAGAGCCATATAATGCATGACCACAATACTAAAATTGGTACAAGCATTACAGGTGACTTATATACCTATCTAATAAAACACGACTGATGTCATTTGGGAGCGCTCATTATTGCCTCAGTCACAACAGGTGAATGAGTAACAACTCTGTAAGGAGTTTTCAGTGTCAGAAAAAGTAAAGTTCACTGCCCAATCCTCAAATAATTAACAACTCTTTGCTCTACAAATGCAGTGGGAAGTGACCTTTTCTGACGAAACATAAGCTGTTTTTCTCCAACTCAGAGCATCCCCTGGAATAATTGGATCAGCTCCTGCACACCGGCTGACCTTTTGTCTTGTATGAATCAACATGGAAAGGAATCTCAAGAATGTTTTGGTCATTTCTTTTGGATTTTTACTTCTCTTCACTGCTTACGGAGGACTCCAGAGTCTACAGGTAAGTGGTTCATCTCTCACTGGTTGGTAGGACAGCTGGGCTGGAAGGGCATCAGGCCAGCTGGTTGTGTGAAACCTGTCAGTCTTTCCCCGGTTTCTGTGAGGAAGGCATGCACAATATTTTTCATAAGATGGGTTACGACATCAACTTGGTGCAGGTCAGTATCCTTCACCCACATCCATAGCATTTACTGACTATTTTATTCTAGTACTTCTCAAATAGTTTAAGTACTTGTGTCAGACTACTTCTTTAGGTCCACAAAAGCTGTTTCAATGAAAACTAAATTTCTCTGAGATTTTTCTCAACAGAATCATAGAATCCTTTAGTTGAAAGGGAACTTTTAAGGTCATATAGTCCAAGCCCCTGCAATGAGCAGGGACAGCTTAAAGTAGATCAGGTTGCTCGGAACCCCCTCCAACCTGACCTGGAATGTTTCCAGGGATGCAAAATGGGGGGAAAAAAAATTCTGAAAAGGGTTTGTTCTGAATATTTTGAAATTGCTATGATTTTATTATTATAATACAGCAATGTAAAATAATAAAAAATGTATGTCCAATCCATTAAATAATATAAATATTAAAAAACCAATCATTCCTGGTGTCATGATGTAATATAATAATAAAAAATATTATTTTAAATCAAAGGCAGCTGTGCCTTGTATTGGTATTAACATTTTAAAACACAGTAGCAGAGATGGTTTCTAGAATGACTTGAACACTCAGAATACCATCAGAGCTGGTTTGTTTAGTGCAGCCATACTAAAAGACTGAGGGTTACTGTTGCTGTCTATGAATACTTCAGAGTAAATAAACACAAGGAGGAACTTTACAGACTAGAAGACTCTGCTGGTCTAATGACAAATAAATGGATATAAGCCATCCATTAAGATGTTTAGGCAGGATATTAAAAGATGACCCTGACCAGTTGGGTTCCAGAAGGATTTTCCAACTGCTGCGGGAATCGGTATGCTTTAAAGGTGGAGCTTGATATAAAACATGCTACACTTGTTTGCAATAACAAGGCGTTGACCTCATTTTGGGAGGAGGTCCCTGCTAGCTCTGTACATCTCCCTCTTCTCCCCTCCTCGAACTTTCAGCATCCAGGTTTGCTGACACTGTCAAATTCCAAGTTCAGGGAAGTTCAGCAAAGAACAGTCCCCAAAGTGGATGGAGATGTTACAAGCTGACCAGTCTAACAAGGAGGGGAATGATAAATCCAAGAAGCCATGAGTCAGCCCTACCATCTGAAATGGTGCATGCTCAGGTTAAGTGCTGGAACATAAAGCCTCCCCTAATGCTGCTGGAGGACGTGGTGCTGATTCACGAAGTAGCCCTCTTCTCTTTCCATTTTGTCTTGGTGGTTAAAGAGGACTTGCTAAGACGCAGTCGAAAGTAGGTTATTTTAATGTGTTGTAGCCTGCAGGAGAAGCATTAAAATATGCATAATTTATGTCAACATTCCACCCACCCACCCAAAAAACAGTAAAATTAAGGTAATCATCTGATTTTGGAGTCCTGGCTCCTATTTTTTGGATGCTCTAGCAGACCAAACCAGGCATGTGGTTTCCGAAATAAGACCTCGGTGATGAGGAATCCCCTTTGCCTTTTTACAAAACAACCATTCCAATTCCCAAATACGTTGACACTGCTCGACAGAGAACCTCCTCATCTCACTGTCCTGATAACTGCTTCTCGCCAAGGGAGCCACACAGCTGCCACCATGGTCCTGCATGGCTGGATCATGCAGCCACCACAGGGCTTGGAAGTGTTTGGTGCAGCTACCAGCAGCCTCGCCCTCCTGCAGTGCTCTCCAGCACTACCCCTCCCCACACCCATCCCCCCCTTCCAAAACCATACCCGATCATGTAAGCTTTTAACGAAAGCTAACAGGAAAATGTTGGTAAGAAGCATGTTGACCTTCTCATTGCGACTTTTACAGTATCAAGATAAATGAACTATTCTGAGCATAAAAATATAAAACCTGGTTAGATCAGTAAAATCTTATTCCTCCCTTGTGAAAAGGTGAGTGAATCAATTACTTCCAAATACAAAGGGCTGCTGTAAGCATATTAGGGTGTTTGGACCTTGGGCTCTGAAGAATTTAGAAATTATCAGACCTGGAATTCAAAGCAAAGAATCTTCTACTGTTGCTAAGTCAGCCCTTGCAATGCAGACCTGATGATACCCCTGCCTGAGACAAAAAGGGAAGGCCAAGAAAAGAGGTTATCCTTCATTCAGCTTGCTTTCAAAGAGAAACTCAAACAAATAACATTAAATAACCTAAAGTATGACTTACCAAAGCTTTGAATCTGAGCAATCCTCACCTGGTTCCGTATCATATTTTCATAAATGGGCTATCGTTAGGAAAACCATAAATCCACAATACAGTTGCTTTGAGGAAAGGAGACAGTAATATTCAGCCTCAGCTTCAGTGTGTCTCTATTCCTGGCTGAAGCCACTCTCTGTACACCATAGTAACATATGCCGGTGATAAAATTTGTCTCAACCGCTGGTTTTGTCCATGCAGAGCAGTCTCCACTCAGAAGAAGGCCTGGGCGTTGCTTCCCTAAGTGTTCTCTATGCTGCGCTCATCTTGTCATCCATGTTCCTCCCTCCAATCCTCATCAAGAAGTTGGGCTGCAAGTGGACCATCGCAGGCTCTATGTGCTGCTACATTGCATTCTCCTTAGGGAACTTCTACGCTAGCTGGTACAATTTAAATACTTTAACCCTATCTATTGTGTTTGAAGGGCAAAGTTCTTTCTTTTTCTTCTTCCGAATTCCTACTCTACCTCTGTGTTGCAGATTTGAAAGTTGGATGCTAAAGGTGTTACCTGCAAGAAACAGGGATAAATAAATCCAGTAGCAGGTGAAGGAGAGAGGTGAAAATGTGCAAAAAGACAGAACGAATGCATGCATCCACCCACCTGAAGCTACTTCTCTAACTCATGTGTGTAGCAGAGATTTCCCTTCAGAAAAAATAATAATGAGAGGCTTCATTTAAAATCCAAATAACTTTTAAGACTGGTTTTGAAAAGATTGAAGTGAAGGCTGTCTTCCAGCCAGTCGCTCTGGGAGCACAGGACCACAGGAGGAGGCCAGCTCCTGCCTTGCCCTTTCAGAGGTAGATGAACAATTTACCTCTGCTCTCCGGTGACAGGGGACGCAACTCTGCAGGGGAAAGTTGTTGTGATCCATCTTCTGAATTTAAGGTGCAATTTAATTCTCAGTTACAACAGGATAGGGCACATGAGCACAGGCCTTGCCAGCCTAGCCTAGACCTAGCCCCTGAACACAGCCTGATGTGCTTGCATATCCTAAACTTCATAAGACCGGTGCTTTCTTGGTTCCATGTAGTAGATTTATTGAATCACACAAAGGATAAATCTATTTCTTTGATGTCGGTTTTTGCCTCTGGATCTTTGGGCAAATGATTATTATGCTAATGGATGATAACTATGCTAAATAAAGTGTTCTTTGGCAGGTACACGCTAATCCCTACCTCTGTGATCCTGGGCTTAGGAGGAGCACCGCTCTGGTCTGCCAAATGCACTTACCTCACCATTGCTGGCAATTCATATGCTGAGAAAGCAGGAAAAAATGGGAAGGACATTATCAACCAATACTTTGGGATCTTCTTTCTGATATTTCAGTCCTCCGGCATCTGGGGAAATCTTATCTCATCTATGATATTTAGCCAAGCTTCCAACAAAGGTAAAATATATTTTAAAATCTTGGTGCTTCTTTCTATAAATACCAGCTAGTTTTACATAGTTAAAAGGCAGATTTCTGTAGCTGAGCTGGTGACCCTCAATTGCCTTCATAGTCAGTGGAAACAGGCACTTCAGATGTGACTAAGCTCATCTGAAGGTAGATGTCTGAAATAGATGGGCTAAATTGCTCTCTGGAAGTGCCTATTTTCTATCAACTTTTCATCAGCTATAAAGAGAACTCAGACAACGAGCTCACAGATGTCTATTGAATTCCTTTTGAATTCCACCCCTGTGTTGTAAAGCATAGATAGGCTGCTGGCAGTGACAGTCTTTCACATCTGACTTCTATTTAAAGTGGATTAAAACAAAAGGCAAAACACTGAAGCAGCCTTTTTGCAAAGCTTGTAGTATTAAATTAATTTGCTGCTAAACATTCAAGGTTAGTCAAGCTGATGCTGGTGCTTGCTGAAAATGAGTGTTTTACAGAATTGTCAAGAAGAAATAGAAGCAGCTGTTGGCAGGAGTCTGCACGCCAGGGCTCCTCTGCTGTATTTCAGGCTCAGACAGCAGATGCTCACATGGCTTGAAGAAATCGCTCAACGGAACTGCCCGTATTTCCCATGCTTGTAATTGGTGTAAGCTCTAAAAGGGCAGTTGTGAAGATAAATTAATACTTGTACGCCACCTTAGAGATTCAAAGTGCTACAGCATATTATCAGTGCAGTCTCCTGTGTGTTCCCTATCCTGTCAAAGTCAGAAGAGGATGGACACGGAAAGAGCTTTCCATATAAGCTGCTCCTATGAATAGCAAGTAGTTACCTCTCTTCCCTGGCTCGGTTAAACAGTATGTCCTCTGGAGGATATTCAAATAGGTATTAGGTTAAAACTAAATGTCTGGCAACAGGTTTTAATCTTTGAATCCTTGAGTTTATGGCAAAGTAGTTGTCACAAGGTGTGATACTTATGGAGAATCATGCTTCTTTTAAAGCCAAGCAAATATATATGAGACACCATCAAAGCAGAATGCTGAAGGACTGTATCGAGTGCAACAGAGCCCTGCTGACCTGATCACTGAGCCACAGGATGTCTCAGGAGGGGCTGTCCCTTCTGATTTCATGTTCAGGGCAGAGGCAGCTGTGGGGTCTGCACAGACTACAGCCATTTTACTCTCCTCTGCCTCACAGAACACATCACAGAATCACAGAATCATTAAGGTTGGAAAAGACCTCTAAGATCATCAAGTCCAACTCATAACCCAACACCACCATGTCCACTAAACCATGTCCTGAAGCACCACATCTACATGTTTTTTGAACACCTCCAGTGCTGGTGACTCCACCACCTCCCTGCGCAGCCTGTTCCAATGCTTGACCACTCTTGCAGTAAAGAATTTTTTCCTAATATCTAATCTAAACCTCCCCTGGTGCAATTTGAGGCCATTTCCTCTTGTCCTATTGCTAGTTACTTGGGAGAAGAGACCAACACCCACCTCACCACAGCCCCCTTTCAGGTACTTGTAGATAGCGATAAGGTCTCCCCTCAGCCTCCTCCTCTTCAGACTAAACAATCCCATGTTAATAAGAGGATTAAAATAGGTGGGGTTTTTTTGCAGTCTCGTAATCCTCTCCTAGTTTTACATCCAAGGATATTCCTCTAAATTCTAAAGAAACTCTTACTTATTTTTTATCAGTTACATTGGATTTCAGGAAATGCTGTGCTCCTGGGAGGTGTGCTGTGAACAGATCTCAAAGCCAAAGGCCTTGCGTATCTTCACAACAGTGATGAGCAGTCATACCATAAGCTTCCCAACTGTGCCTTCTCAGGGAGACTCAGCTTTAATCTAGAGGAGCTTCTTGGGGGGCGAGGGGATAAGGATCTCCAGTCACTCACTTTTTTTCCTCTCCTCTGACAGTGAAGCAAAGGTATCCACCCATGTTGTTCATATACTTAAAATGTATAATTTCAGTGACCAGTCAGAAAGGTATGGTATGTATCTGCAGAATCAAAATGCATCAAATTCAGACACGTACATACATTTGACATATTGCCAGCAACGCTGCGTCCAGATACAGCAAGGCAAGCTATACCATGAGGTAATACTACAGCAGAAGACAGTAATCAATGTAAATTACAAGAGTCATCCTTTCTCACTCATCAATATTGCATTCTGATTTCCAGAGGAACAGAGCAAACCCTGCCTTGCAGCTTCCCTATCACTAATTGCATGTGCATCTTCATCTTCAGATGATGCATGAACAGATAAAAAACTTGTTTTACACACTTCCACACTTTACTAGTGTGACTCACCTTTTGCATATAGTAATTCTTCTGAGGGTCTGTTTGTTCAAAACGGTGTAGTGGTAGCCACTGGCTATAATAAGGTAATGATTTTCTTTACGTTATTAAGTTTTATCTGATGTTGAACCTAAAGCTGTTTATGAAGCTGGTTAAACAGATGATTCACATTGCAGCAGCTTTGATTGGAAGCAATGGGGAAAAACACACTGAAAGTAGTTACACAATAGCCCTAATTGAAAAATTACAGATCAAGCCCTGTTTAAGGAATCAGCCAAGGTACACCGTATTGCCCTTTATTATGCTTGGACCAGTGACAAATTCTGCAGTGAAAGCACTTAAATAATTGTATGGTTTTTTGATCATCCTTCCCCACTACACAGCTTATTCAGGCTCACGCTTTGGGTTAGTATTTCTTGTTTGCAGAAAGGGTACTGGAGGAAGTAAGCACAGTGTCGTGGTGACACACAAGGTATGTGAGTACACACGTGTGTGGCTTCGACACATGCCCAGCACAACACTGATGGGATTGAACAAAGCAAAGGTCTTACTCCAAACCCTGCCAAACTGTTCTAGTTTCAAGTACATTCTCAGAGAGTAATAAAGGCAGTAATAAAGTAATAAAGCCAGGAAAAGCTGGTTTCTTGGAAGACTGCATTAGTGGGTAATCATAATTTGAATTTATAAAACAAAAAGATGTCTCGAGGTGGTTTCCGTTCCTATAACATATATAGAAATTATCTGGAGAGGGATAATATGCTGTGGTTGTAAGCACTGAGGTCCATCAGCTCAGTGGTGGTGTAAACTGAGGGACCTGTCTGGTGGGGTATTATGATTAAGAGGTACAGATACACACTGGAACTTTAAATAATGCACATTGAGCTTGGATTCAGATTTCAGCCTCTGGCTTTAGCCCATGTCTCCATGTGACCATCAATTCAGTGTTCTGTCTTGAGCAAGTGTTTCTGTTAAACTAAATTTTTGTGTGTTATACTGGAATTCTGAAGTTAGACATCTCTAATCAGGAAGGATTTGAAACCAGAACCAGTCACAGAGCACCGGGTTCCCTGCTTCTTATCTCCTTACATATTGTGTGCACTCATTTGATTTCTTCCCTGACCTGCCTTTCTTTTGGTTCTTACTGAATCAGTGGAAATCTCAGGAGAAAACCTGGCATGCTGCGGAGCGTATGACTGCATGACTGATACCACTAATACCACTGGGTCAGCAAAACCCTCCAACTCCTTAATCTACACTCTGCTAGGGATCTACACTGGTAAGTAAACCACACAATCTTTAATGAATATCACTGATGGGTAACCTACCACTTGAGAAACCTAGCATGACTTTGCAGATTAAGTTTCCAACTTCCTCCTTCAATCCAATTTGCTAAAAGGAAATTAGAGGATTACAGCAGTTTGTCCAGTTATGCATGAGATAAATTTAAATTAGCTATCTTCTGGATCAGCAATAGTGAACTAGTTATTGATGGCACTGGGCAGATTTATATAAGCATGCAGAGGTCCAAGATGCTAAGAGCAGCCCAGCTAGTGGTACTTGAACTCACCAACTTCTAGCTCATCTGGGGATGCCTCTCAGAACTGGCTAGTGTCCTACCACATGTAAAACAGTTTCAGCACAAGAACTACACTGTAATTAGAGGTGGAACTGAACCACGGCTCCCAGAAGATGCAACCATTTGTGGAGGGAGATTTTTGGATCCCTGCTGAGATTTTACAACTTCAGTCAATTCTCAGCTGTGATGCTTGAATTATAATACCTTAGTGTGAAAGGCGAAAATAAAGAGAAGCACTAGGCGAATTGGCACGTCTCTCATTTAGTAACTACAGCTGCTGTAGACCTTTCTTGCATAAGGCTAGAAAGGAATCAAAGGCAGGGAAGGCTGATTCCATCAAAAATTGGAAAGACAAAAATAGATATGCCAAGATTCATTTGTGAGGAAAGTTCAAAAAGTAACTGGCTCAAAACAAGTTATTCTCTGGATAAAGGGGAAGCATCTGGCAAGGCAATATGTCACCTTAACTCTGTTAAAATATCTTGGCGGTCTCTGCACATAGATGCACTCTCTATGCTGAGACAGATGCAAGGAATTTGTCATCTGCTCAAACAGAAAGTATGTGATCTGGTCAGAGCCAGCCCTCACCGGACAAGGGCATCGCAGCAAACCCTCCCTCCTTCCCCAACCTCCATTCCTAATTGGTGAGAAAATGCAAAGAATAACCCCCCACTTCCCTTCCAGAGTGTGCTGGAGCTGATGCCTTTCTGCTAAAGGCAGGTTTGGCTCACAAGTTTAAATTTAAATTTGATGACTAACATATATAGCACTCCCTTAGGCTTTGCTCATGCAAAATGAATGCAACCCTGCTGCCTACTGACCCCGCATCAGTAGGGTTTCATTTTTCTTTTAAGTTCTTAATAAAAGATATGTCTTTTTCTACCTCGAGGGAAACCAAATAGCTAAATATTTTATTCACATACATTTTCAAAATGTCTCCTCTATTTGGTTGCAGAACACATATTTTGCCCAGCTTGTGTGGAGACAAGAATGGATAAGACTTTTGTTGTTTAGTTTTTTCAAGAACTGTGGATATTTCTATTTATGTTCATACCAATCACTAATAAACCATGCAGTTACTTACCTCCTATAATTGCTCTTGATTCATCTGACATACTTGTTAGAATATTTGTCCTGTAAATGTGGATGTCCTGCTCTAACACATATAAGTCTTGCAATCAACCCACCAGTGCTAATAAGCACCCTGGCAGAAGCGACAATGACTTACACCATGAAAGGTTTACAGCTCAGCCACAGTGGAGAACCAGGACGCTGGAGAATACAATTTCATTCTAGGACACATGGGTGAGAAATAACAAGCAATAAAGTATTGAGGCAATTTACTGTAAATCTGCTAATATATTTGGAGATTAAAAGTTCACAGAAAAGAGTATGCCCATACATAATAACACAGAAGCACATTCTCCTCTTACTCTGAACTCCACCTGTTTCCATGGATGGCGTTCTAGTCAGCATAAGTAAGAGAGGAAACATAACCATGCCTTGCATCTGTAACGAAGCAATCAGTTGTGAATCTGTGGCTGCTTCATGTATATTATGAGACACAGTTATCTTCTTGATAACATGAAAAAAATTTTATTTATTCACTTGACAAGCAACAAAGCTTGACCGATACATACATGATCATTTTCTGATTAACTACCCCATGTATTCTTTCATATGCTGCTTCTACTAGGAAATTTTAGGTTCAAAGCTGTAACTTCCATCTTTTTCAAGTCACCCACAGTTGCTCACTATCATCTTTAAAATCACACATATTCCATACTCAAACATGGCTCCGAGCTGACCAAAAAAAAAAAAAAAGCAATATATGCGGAGATCCAAGACAGAAGTTCTACTCCCAGCCCTGTATTTTTATTTCCATGTATTTGAAGGAAGATCCCTCCTAGCCATGAAAACCTTGGCACTGGAAGTGGATATTCCTCTCTGGTGTAGATTTAAAGCCTTTTGATAGCTCCCGAGGGAGCTGTTTCTGGCCAGCTCCCTGTCCCCGTGACCCCCGGCTTGCCCTGGAAGGGTGAGCGATCGCCCTCTGCGGCCGTGCAGCTGGCCCGGCGGCTGTCACAACAGGCCAGTCGCGGTTAAGCTGAGGGGATTTGCGAGGTGCGCAGCTGTATGCAGAAGACGTGGATGTAGATCAGGCCTTCTTGTTTATGGAGGAATGGCCTTTACACTGAGGCGGAATCAGATGCATCTGCCAAAACATCCCACAGAGAGCTAAGCACTAAGAACAATAACAGCAGCAAGAGACTTCCCATCATTCTTCCAGCGTTCCTCATTTTTTTATGAACTTTTTGTTTTGTTTTTGCAGCTAGTGGTGTGCTAGCTGTGCTGCTGATTGTTATATTTCTGGACCAGATCAAATCTGACCAAGCAGAGACTGAGAAAGAAACACTAGAGACACCATCACTTTGGTCAACGTTCCTAGCAACTTTCCAGCATCTTAAAGATAAAAGGCAGTGTCTTCTAATCCCTCTGACAATGTACAGTGGGCTTGAACAGGGATTTCTTTCTGGTGACTACACAAAGGTGTGGATGGCAATGAAAATCTATTTGTGTCTGATTGTTTTTTGTGCCTTTGTGTCTTGCTGTTCCATCTGATCTATATTTACTTGTTAAATGAAGATGTTTTCAATGGCGATTTGTGGTTTTCTAAATTACTGCTTACTTCTACTTGAATGAACTCTGAATGACATCTTCAAACAGGAGAGGCCAGCAGTAAATATGTCTCTTGGAACAGCCTTGAAAAGAACATTGTAGAGAGCTTAACTCACCAGTGGAGGCCACAGCAGAGCGCTACAGGTTCAAACTCTTCAGCTTGTTGTAAATAACAAACTGGGAATAAAGCCAGAAGGCTGCAAAGCCTTTTATATCTTCCTTCCTTCTGGTTTCCCTAGAGTTTGTGTAAGTGCAAGTCAGCACACATACCACATATTTTATTTTGAGAACCTTTACGGTAAGAAGGCAAACCCTCAACGTGGCTGGCTGAAAGCCCTCACCAGTCACTAGTGCAACAGGTCCAAACCCTGACAGACTGAAATGATCAAAACCACCTCTGCTCCTCCAGTTTCTCTACAAACATAGACACACAGCAGGTGTGTTCTACAGGCATACGTTGAGAAAGCCTCCAAAGAAAGGGGGCAAACTTCCTGAGCTGCTTATTTGACACTTAAGTTTTCAAACCTTGCATATGAGCAGATGGAAGAGTGCACTTGCTGCTGTGTTTGAATGGACTGAAAGGAGCACTCCATGGCCACCTCCATTGGCTGTATGTTCTTATGAGTCCTCTTCATTTCTTGGGAGCTGCTCTGTAATGACCGTAGTGCTGACTGTCAATTTTCATCTCTTGAGACATAAATGGAATGGCAGAAGATTCCTACTGCCACTTCCAGGAGTTTTATTTGCATAGCGAGCGGTGCTTCTGTTTCTTCTCCTGCTTGTTACTGTTCTGTTTGCATGGCATCAGATGACTGGGAGCTGGGTTAGGAATATCGCTGCTGAAGGCCAACTATGTCAATACGCTTGTCAGCAAACTCTGTAGCTGTGCTCCTTTGATCTCATCCATGCTGGCTATTTACTGAATACTCAGGCTAAGACCCTTGAACCCTAGCTGCATATTTTCACTGAAGAAAACGTGTCAGCACTGTCTCTTCTCTTCCAGACCTATGTGACCTGTGCCCTGGGGATACATTACGTTGGTTACGTGATGATCTGTTTTTCAGCTGTAAATTCCCTCTGCTCCCTGCTCTTTGGAAAGGTGTCTCAGTTCACGGGTAGAAAACTTCTATTTGCATTAGGTATGTAAGGTCATTTGAAGGAGTGATCACCTCATGTAATATATGAAATCCAGTGCTCCCCCCTTTGCATGTATCACAAAGGGAGAGCTTACTGTCAGCTATCAATTAAAACCAAAGTCAATCTGGAGGCAAACTTCATTCATGAGAAGAGAGGCAGCACAGTTAACCACTGTATTGAGGTCACTGCCTTACATCACTTCACTCGTGGCACAGTTCACCCTGCTTTTGAGGGCGCTGTCTACTCAGAAAGTGCCCTACAGCTTTGATGCTTTATAGGTCTAATGCAACCAGTGATAAATGATCTTGCAATACAGATGTTGAGGCCTACACTATAACTAAGGAGGATTTCTCCACTGGGGTGAAACCTCCTCACCTTTATGGTGTGAAAGCATCTGAGAAACTCGCAAGATACACTGTTGATTTGAGTCTCAGGGGATGGTGAACCTGGTAATTTAAGCGAATTTCAGGAAAATTTTTAAAGGTTGGCCTCATGTCCTTTTCACTACTTCTTCCCTACGGAGAAAAATAAAAGAAAGTCATATGCCAGTGTGTCAGGCTAGAATAACTTGAGGGCTTGTGTATGAGACAGTAATTTTCAGCTTGCCATGAGAAGAGATTTGTATATTTAAGAACATCTCCCTCTCCAGAGAACACTATTCCAATGAACAACAGAGTAATGGAGGCAGAAGAATACCAAGAAATATTTCATTTGTGTCCCTGTATCTACTAATCTATTCATACTGATGTGTACGAATACCTTACTTCCACTGCACAGTAGCCTGTATTATTAGAAATGTCACTGACTGAGTCACTGTGCATCTAGACATTCTAGGCATTTCCTCCACAGGAAATTTTAAACCTGTGCAAGGAAGAAGAAGTTTAGAGTCCTTTATGCTACAGTCACTAGTTCAGAGATTCTTCTGTATGTGTCTGTCCTAGGTGTATGTCTCACTCTATGACGCTCATTTTAGATTAAAAAATCAAAATAGCAACAACAACAACAGCTTCTATAGTGTTAGAAAGACCTCTTATGTCTCCGTTCTGTTTAATAGTCTTTGTACTCAGCCTGTGAAGGTGCACCTGTGGGGGGAGGAATCAGTGACTCAATTACAAACTGCTTTTAAAAAGACAGACAAAAAGTCACCAAACCTTCTGCATATCCTTGACTGTCTCCTCTGGCCCTGAAAGGAAATCTAAGCTTAAGGACTAGGTAAGGAGAGCAGAAGGGTGCTTCCTCCCCCTTCCCACATGCCTCACATGATGACTGCAAGTCTTTCATCAGCCCCTTCTCCTACTCAGTGGCAGTTCTTGTCCCTTGGGCTAACAGCTGTATCAGCGCTGAGGATCTCTCAGGTCAGGAGACTGCTCAGAATTATTAATTGAAAACTGTCAAAGGACTGCATTGTCTTGTATTTCATGTGATATCAACTCAGTCAGCACAAATATCAGTAAACCAGAAAGATTTTAAGATTGCCTTGTGCTGTAGTTGGGGGAAGAATTTGAAAATGTTATCTACCACTATCTGTCCTGTTTGTAATCACATTTATATTTTTCTTCTTTCTTTCTAAATCAAAAGCCACAGTTACAAACACCGCCTGTATAATAGCACTACTGCTGTGGAAACCTCATCCTAAGCAGCTTGCTGTGTTTTTCGTATTCCCTGCTCTTTGGGCTCTATCTGATGCCATTTGGCAGACACAAACTAATGGTAAGTCCTGGTGACAATGAAATGTACCCTCTTGAGATATAAAACTCTGCATTCATAAAACAATGTGTGCATACAAATAATAATGGGTTTAAGACAGCACCTAAAAGAAATATGTCAGCTCATTGGAAAGTAGAAGAAATAAGAAGCTGGAAATAAGGAAGTAAAATACTCATTCAACAAATTTTTCCAAGATGAAGAGAGAAGCACACTGCAGAAGATGATAGCAGATATTCAGAATAAATATCCTGGAGGTGTATAAGTGTTACAAAGAAAATTAGAAAACTAAGAAGAATGATACATTTAGTCTGTCTTTTGCAATAAAGGAGAGCACTCTGGATAAAAAATCAGCTCAAAGCTCAGCAACAAAAGAAGCAGCAAATTGGCTGTTAGGAGTTATTAGAAAAAAAATAAAGGAGAAAACAGCAGGAAGCAACATTATGCAACCAAGCAAATCCATGCAGTTTTGATTTGCTCCATTTCAAAAATCGTAATCCAATGTGATAAGGCATAAGAAGGTAATAAAAAAGAGCAGAGTCATGGGAGACTTCCACTTGAAGGAAGGCTAACAAACTAGAACACTTTAGCCTGGACAACAGATAAGTAAGGAAAGCAGTCAGTAAGATCATTAATATTGTGTAGAAGGTGATAAGAAGTTCACTATTTCTCTTAATAACAGAACTAGTGGCACCAAATAGTTATCAGGCAGCAGACTTTATAGGAATCAAAAGAAATGCTTTTTTCACACAATGCATAATCAAAGTATGGAATGCATTGCCAAAAATGTAAATGTTTTTAATCTAGAATTCCATCACTTCAGGGGAGAATGTTCTTGGGGTCTGTTAAAGCCAGGTGGTCCAAAGAAAATCTCCAACTGAGAAAGTCCCTATGTCTTTAACTGCCAGAATCAGAAGGGCACAGGTGGGGAAAGATCACTGAATACTTGCCACATTTCTTACATGCTTATCCTAGAAGTCTGTTACTGGAAGTATACTGTTGGACTTCTTATCTGATGCATTATGGTTGTTCTTGTAATCTTTTATGTTCTTCTGCTTTGTGATATTATAAGTGCAATTATTACATACTGATGGTTCAGATAATGAGCTGACACAAACTGACTCCTGTAAGCAACTATTTAAACTTATCCCTCAATCAAAACTAGAAGAAATTCATAGAATCATAGAATAGTTTGGGTTGGAACAGACCTTTAAAGGTCATCTAGTCCACCTCCCCCGCAATAAGCAGGGACAGCTTCAACTAAATCAGGTTGCTCAGAGCCCCGTCCAACCTGACCTGGAATGTTGCCAGGGATGGGGCAACTATCCCCAGGGATAGTGCTTGTGGGTAAGGATGAGGGGAAAGGC